TTCCGGAGGGCGGGCTGGGAGGGCGAGGAGTTGTCCTTCGGGTGAGCAGGGACACGTGGAGCTCGGCTCAGGGAGGAGCGATGAGCTAGTTGAGAGCTTGTGGGCTAGGGTTAGAGGGCAGACCTTCTGTGCTGCAGGCTGCCCGGTCAGGGAGGGAGACGATGAGGACAGGCAACCTCCCCGCAGGAGGGAACCTTCTTCTTGGCTTTCAAGGGAATTTCCCTCGGTTGAATTTGTGCCCGGTGCCTCTTGTCCCGTCGCTGGGCACCGCTGAGAAGAGATGCTCCTTCTCTGCTCCGCTCCTCGGGTGTTTCTCCGCGGTGACCTCAGCAGAGCCCGGAGCAAGTCCTTCCAGCGGGAGCAGCAGCTCTCGCCGGCGCTCGCCGCAGGGAGCGCCTCGGGGGGCCCGGCTTTCGGTTTCCTTCGTTGTTACCCTGACGTGTTGGTCCCGCTGTGGTTTTGCAGACCTGTTGTTCGGGCTCCCGGGGAGGTACAGCGGGGTGAACCTCTACAACAGGAAGCGGGTGGTGTCGTACACCGTCACGCTGGGGCTGCAGCGCTACGATTCCAGGTAAGGAGTTTGAGCTGCGCTGGTTTTACCTTGGGGTGCCCGTAGTCGTTTCTTGGCAACCTTGCTGGGTTTTTTCGACTCTGATTATTCTATTTTTCTTCAATCTCCGTTTTCTTGTGGTTTGGAGTGTTTTAGGATCTTCTGAATGTGCTGTAGAAAAACGGGGTGATGTTTTGGGGAGAAAACTTGCTGCGTTTTAAGGAAATACAACACTATCAGCTCAGTTTCTCTTTAAAAAAAGCGATACGTAATACCCAAAGCTGCCCCTGGGAGTTCCTCTGGTGATGGCTTCATCGGCACACAGAGCTGTCAGTGTTGCAGCCAAGGCCCAGTAGGTCGGTTTTGACCCAGTTCCTGGTGCACGGCGTGGTTTGCTTTCCAGTAAGCGCTGATTGAGCTGGTACCAACCCTTTGGCAGAGCGGGCTTGGGCTGAGTGCACCTGAGGACTGAACCTTCTGCTGCACAGAATTCCCCAGGGAGTGCCTGGGACAGGGCTGGCAGCACGGTAGTCGAAACTTGCTCTGCTGCTGCCCGTCCAAGAGCCCTTCAGCCTCAAGGACTGTCCTGTAGCACCTTTCATCAGCCAAACTTAGGTGGAATTCAGGGGATGTTTGAAGCTACAGCATGTTCTGTTCCCCAGGGCCAAGATTTTGGAGGATGAGCCCTTGCTATACATAATTCCGCCGAGTCTTTGCGGTTATCTTCGAATCTTCATAGAAATCAAGGCCCGTGAGATTGCCAGGGTACAGGTGGGACAAATGTAGTTTGGGCCACAGAGGAACAAATTTAGGAGTCAGGCCGAGAGAGCGCCGTGCTTTGTCAGGCTGTGTCAGCCTGTGGAGCTTCTTCCTGCTTGCTCTGTCCGCGCTGAGCTCCTCCTTGGCGGCGCTGGGCGCGGTGTCAGTGACCTCCTCCTGCTTGCTTTTCACCTCAGGTTCCTCAGCAGCCTCCGCTCTCGCCTCAAGCTGCTGCACCCCAGCCCTAACTGCACGCTGCGAGAGGAGAACATCGTTCACGTCCACTTCAAGGAAGAGATTGGCATTGCTGAGCTGATACCCCTCGTCACCACCTACATTATACTCTTCGCTTACATCTACTTCTCCACACGTAGGTTTGGGGGGGGAGAGCAGGCTATGAAGTCACCTGTACACCTGCCAGCTGAAGGGAGCAGTGGTGCAGCGCCCTTCCCCTGGCTGCCCATGAGAGACACTCCT